TGATTGTCCACCATTTCTCTGTCCCTTGACTTCTGTGAGACCACACTACCTTGATTCTCTTTCTTACATGTTTGGAACTCCTTCCTTGATGTCCATTTAAGCTTCTTTTTTTCTCTCTCCTTGAATGTGGTACCAAGGCTTTCATCTTTTGCTCTTTCTTTTCTTATTCCGTATACTTTAATCTTGATAATTTCATCCATAGCCTTGTCTGTTCAGAACCAAATCTATATTTATAACAGAAATAAAGTAAACTACATAACTATCTTACAGATACTTAACACTCAGAACTTAATGTATCTAAAACTGAATGTATTGTCTTTTTTTCTGAATCGTGCTCCTCCTCAGGTATTTTTTATTTTGATGAGCCACACTATCATCATAGTCCAAGCTAGAAAAGAGAGAACCATTTTTGACTGTTTCCTCTCTTTTATTATTCTCTTCCTTTTAACAGTTGTATTCTCCATCTTTTCATTTGTATATCTCCTGCTTCTTCATAGTTCAGTCCTAATGTCTAACTTGGAATATTTACTGTATTGATCTCCCTACTTTTGGTCGTCCACGAATTCATCCACTGTCGTCCTGTCAGAAGTATATTTATTTAAGAAAATGTTATTTCCCTTCTTAAATCCCCTCAAAATTTGCCAGAGCTCATATAAGATAATGTCCAAAGGAAATTTCCCATTTCCTTTATATGCAGTCAACTAGCAAATTGTGGCAATTTCGTGTTTATATTGTCTTTGTATCTGTTCTTTCCCTGCCATGCTATCTACAGAAGTCCCTCATTGATCCTCACATACAATTCTCTAATACCCACTTTACTGATTTCCTTAGAGTCTCCTTGGATTTCTGTCTCTAACTCTAATGTAACGTTATGCTTTCTCTGAAAGCAGAACTATAATCATTTTCTTAGTTCAAAAATATTTAATAAACCTCTAAAATGTCAGTTTAGCCTCTTGAAAGCCTAGTCTTTTCAAATACAATCTTCTGCATGAAATTTGTCATGATCTTCTAATTATAACACCTATTCCTACTGTGATCCTTTATAGTCTTCTCTTTTGATGAATTTATTCTGCTAAATTTGGGGTAATATATGAACTTGTGATAGTGTTCCCATATTAAAGGTAAAGTTTTAGAGTAAAAGGATTATATTTTACTGATTTTTGTTTATTCTATAGAACTTTAACAAAATATGTGCTAATAAAGAGTTATTAAAAGAAAATCATTACCCACTGAACTGATTTATTGTGTGAATGAAATGAGATCGTGTGGAGAGAAAAATACTGTAATGCAAAGCCCATCTTACAAACATTATTATTTGTAATTTTTGCATTGTCCAACAATATTTATAGCTGATGCTCTTTATTATGTGAATAAACATACTCAAATAAATAAAACACTTTCCAAAGTTACAGACATCTTTATGTGTTGAAAGTGAAAATCCTATAAATATGACAGTTTAGGTTGTGATTAAAGTTGTTATCCCAGTATTAATAACTGAGGACCATTGAGTGAGTTATTTTAACCATTATTTACAAATATATGTTGTAAGAATTATATGTAATGAATAGAATATTTTTGACATTTGAATATAATATTTTAATTTTACCATGTATTCAGCAAGAGCAGGACAAGATGAATGATGAGCTCCATAAAGAAGAGAAAATGTGGAAAGAGAAATTTAAACAGCATGAGGTATCTATTTGTTGCTTTTACTCAGTGCAATAATTGTTCTTCATTTGAAATAAATTACTATGCTTGAAATGGACATTTTAAATAATATTGCTTAACTGGTGTAAGAATTAATTTAATAAAGCTTTAAACATTCATTAATCATGAGAGACTCTTCTTGAAATAGAATGTCCTGAAAATGAAAATAAACTGGTTAATGAGAAAATATGTCTCTATAAAATTATAATTCTAAAATTTATTTTAGTGTTTGAGGAAAGATAATTATGAACATATAATGATGATTGAAAATTATTATAAAAATTTACTGTATTTCTTAAACACAGTTCATTGTATGTGCTAAATAACCCCTTTGAATTTAAGATGATTCTGATGACATATTTATTAAATTTTAACTTTTGTTTACCCTACAGCTTTTATATAAAATTATTTTAAGTAATTACAAGCATAAAGTAGATGAAATTTCTCGTAATCTTACTGTTCATCCTAATATACTATTTTTCTTTGTATTTCCTTTAAGTCATTATTTATATGAACATACATCAGAAAAAGTAGGTTTCTACTGGCCATAATTGTTTGAAATTTTTTAACATATAACATTGTATAAGTTTAAAATGTACAACATGTTGATTTGATATAATTGTACATTATAATATGATTGTCCCTACTGCCTATCTTTATTTTTTTTAATTTTTTTAAAATTAAGTTTATTGGGGTAACATTGGTTAATTCAATTATATAATTTTCAGGTATACATTATAATTTGACATCTATATATTTTATATTCAACTGGACCCAAAGTCCAGTTGCTTTCAGCTATCATATATTTGATCCCTTTTACCCACTTCGCCCTCCCGCTAAATCCTATATTTGACCACCTTTACCCCATCTACCTCTCCCCTCCTTCCCTACCCCCTACACTCTGGTAACCACTAATCTGTAGTCTATGTCTATGAGTCTCTGTTTGTTTCTCTTGTTGGTTTGTTGCTTTTAGGTTTATATCCCAACTATAAGTGATATTATGTGATTTTCAACTTTTTCTGTCTGGCTTATTTCACTTAGCATGTTTATCTCGAGGTCCATCCATGTTTTTGCAAATGGTAGTATTTAATCTCTTCTTATGGCTGAATAATATTCCATTGTATATATGTACCACAGCTTCTTTAGCCAATCATCTATTGTAGGACACCTCAGTTGCTTTCGTGTCCTAACCACTGTGAATAATGCTGCTATGAACATCGGTGTGCAAATATCTTTTCGGTTATGGGTTTTCAAGTCTTTGGGGGTAAATACCCAATAGAGAGAATGCTGGATCGTATGGTAGGTCAATTCTTAGTTTTTTGAGGAACCTCCATACTGTTTTCCATAGTGGCTGAACCAATTTGCAGTCCCTCCAGCACTGAATGAGGGTTCCTTTTTCTTCGTATCCTCTCCAACATTTGTTATTATTTGTCTTGTTGATTATACCTATTCTAACAAATGTGAGATGGTATCTCACTGTCGTTTTAATTTGCATTTCCCTAATAGCTAGCGATATTGAGCATCTTTTCATATATTTGTTGGCCATTTGTATGTCCTTGACGGAGAAGTGTCTGTTCAGGTCCTCTGACCATTTTTTGATTGGATCATTTGTTTTTTTGTTGTTATTGAGTTGTTTGAGTAGTATGAGCTCTTTGTATATTTTGGATATTAGGCCCTCTTTGTATATTTTGGATATTAGGCCCTTTTCCCATTCAGATGGTTCTCTCTTTACCTTGTTGATGATTTCTTTTGCTGAGCAGAAGCCTTTTAGTTTGATGTAATCCCAATCATTTATTTTTGCTTTTACTTCCCTTGCCTCTCAGGTCAAATTCATAAAATCCTCTTTAAGTTCGAGGTCCTTGAGTTTCATGCCTATGTTTTCTTCTATGCATTTTGTTTCACTTCTTATATTCAGACCCTTAATTCATTTTGAGTTAATTTTGGTGTGTGTGATAGACAACAGTCTAGTTTCATTCTTTTGCAGGTAATCTACCAATTTTCCCAGCACCATTTATTGAAGAGGCTTTCCTTTCTCCACTGTATGTTTTTGGTTCCTTTGTCAAAAATTATTTGCCCCTATAAATATAGGTTACTTTTCAACTCTCGATTCTGTTCCACTGGTCCGTGTGTCTATTTTTCTGCCAATACTATACCATTTTGATTAATGTCGCTTTGTAGTATAATTTGAAGTCAGACAGAGTGATGCCTCCAACCTCGTTCTTTTTTCTCAGGGTGATTTTGGCAATTCAGAGTCTTCTGTGCTCCCATACAAATCTGATAATTTTTTGTTCTATTTCTTTAAAAAATGCCGATGAGATTTTGATGGTGATTGCATTAAATCTGTATAATGCTTTAGGTAATATGGTCATTTTAACTATGTTGATTCTTCCAAGCCAAGCACAAGGAATATCTTTCCATTTCTTTGTATCTTCTTCGATTTCTTTTAATAGGGTCTTGTAATTTTCATTATATAGGTCCTTCACATGTTTCGTTAGGTTTCTTCCTAGGTATTTTATTCTTTTTGTTGCAATTGCAAAAGGCATTATTTTTTTCCATTTCTTTTTCTGACACTTCATTATTAGAGTATAGGGACGCTATGGATTTTTGAACGTTGATTTTGCATCCAGAAACTTTACTGTATTTGCTTATTGTTTCTAGTAGTGTTCTTGTGGAGTCTTTAGGGTTTTCTGTATAGAGAATCATGTCATCTGCAAATAGTGACAGTTTGACTTCTTGGTTTCCTATTTGGATGCCTTTTATATCTTTCTCTTGTCTGATTGCACTCTCTAGGACTTCCAATGTTCTATTGAATAAGAGTGGCGATAGTG